AGGCTGGCCTCGAACTCACAGAGATCCGCCTGCCTCTGCCTCCCGAGTGCTGGGATTAAAGGCGTGCGCCACCACCGCCCGGCTGTTTAGTTCTATTAAATATAAAATATTAGATATAAAAACACCAGCCCACAGTGACAATGTTATAATGTTGGGATACTCTTTGTTTCCTAGTAACTTGGCAATGTCTTTCACACAATATTCTCTCTCTTTGAAGATTAGATATCGGTGCATTTAAAAGCAAATCTTAATTAAGATCAATGTTTCCTAATTTCCTTAAACCTGATGCCATTTAATTAATCCTTGCACCCAATTCTTTTCTCCCTCTGAATGCTAAAGTCAATGATTTTCACAGAACAGAGAAGATTTATACATATTGGGAGGATGATAAATGCACCAAACGTTTGTTCAGGACAATTTCTAGTCTTGTCTCTTCTGCTCTTCCTTCTCAGCATCCATTTTAATGTCTCTGCCATTCATTTATTCATTCAGTATTTATTTGAGCAGACTTGTCGGGCACCATGATAAGTGGTGGCAAATAATGATTCCGACACTTGAATGGTGTTTTACAGCTTACAGATCATATTCACATGTATTAAATTCATTCAGTCCTCTGAGGCACTCACTTCATCTCGCTCCAGTTATTCCTTCCCTTTTAGCTTCATAGTCCCTCAAATCATTTCAGAGTATTTTCTAAGTGCTTTGGTGGGGTGAGGTGGGGGTGGTGAACACAGGTTGGAAAAGCGTAAGACGAGACTATAGGCTAGAAATGCTTCTAGTAGCTCATACTTTAGTTTCAAGGTCCGAGTTCTTGCAAAGGTGTGCTCTCTTTTCCTTAGGAAAGTGCAAAGAGTCACATGGAAAAGAACAGTGACCATCAATGCATCCTTCGCTGGAGAATGGGTTGAACCTAAACATAGAGAGGATGATTTCCGAAGTCTTTCTGGGTCTCCATCCAATTGGCTGTATTTAAAACATCCTGGATGCTTGCTCTAAAGAGCTGTGACCCTACCCCTGGCCCCCACCACCAAACATGCCCAGGCCAATAGATTCAAGCATCCAAGTGATTAGGTGTTGTGATACTAACCCATGGGCAAGAATCAAAAGACACAAAAATCAACCAGGAAATTCTCAAATATTTGTGTCTCAAATCTCGTTTAATCCATTAATGTCTGTCATACACAACCTGGCTTCTGTAGGAAATGCTAGGGACTCCTCTGCAGGAAGTAGCTTGAGGTGGATGAATGTGTCATCGCTAGAGGTATGGAACAATGACTGTGGCCTGTTGTAGGCACACAGCATCTCTCCAGTTTGTAGTCAGTGACTACGTCAAGGACACTTTGGTGTTTACAGGATACAAGTGGATGACACTGCGCATAAACTTGTACTGAGAGACAAACTCATTCCCCACACAGACCCCTTGGACTTGTTTAACATAAACCTAGAATGCTACTATTCCAGAATGTGCTATGACCTTCTCTTTTCTGTTCCATTTTCATTTTCACAGAGACACCTTTCCTGGATACTCTCCATAATGTATTATCCTTATATTTATCCATTTATTTCACTTCACAAATGTTTTTGTGATGTTCATCACTACCTGAACAGTGTGTGTGTGTGTGTGTGTACACTATAAACTCTAAGAGGGCAGTGATTATTTTTAACACACTTTCTGGAACACAGTGATAGACCCTGAATGAATATTGATGGAATAAGTGAATGAGCAACATATCACATAATTATAAAAGCCCAGCCGTGTTCTAGATACTAGGGATATAGCAATGAACGGAGCTGACAAACATAACTGAACTCTTTGGATCTTACATTAAGACACAGGGAAAGAGACTTTTGACAGGCAAGGCAGGGAAGCTTGGAGAATAGAGCTGGGCATCATCACACAGAGTGATGGAGGAAGGAGACCTGGGGAAGGTCAGGAGAAAAGAGGTGTACACAGTGTAGGGGGAGCATGGGCCATTTAGGCAAAGAGAAAAAAGAAGTCTGTGAGGTCACACCCAGCACATTCTTTGCAAAGTGTTGAGGGATGGGCCAGTGAAGCATGCGTGGGTCAGACACAGGCAGGCAGTCTTTCAGGTCACTTGGAGGACTTTGGTCTTGTTCTTGTGTGAGCTGGGTGGGTACTGTAGGGCTCTGAGCAGAGGGACACACCCGATGTTGGGTCCGATCGGATCCTCCTTTTGGTCCAGTGATGAAAGACTGATGGGTGCTGGGGTAGAAGCAGCTAGGAGCCCCAGGCAGTCAAGCAGGAGGAAATGCTGGCGTGGTCCACGGGAGTGGCAGAGGTAGTGAAGTCCTTAAGACGGGAAGGATCTCGAAGGGGGGCCCGGCAGAATCTACCGAAACAATGAACAAAAGTAATGACCCAGTTGTGCCAAGATGACACAAAAGTCTTTTCTTGGATTTACAGAAAAGAGCAAGTTTTGTCAGGCCTCAGACGCTGATGTAACAGATTCAGTATTAGGGCTTAGAACACTTGGGTCAACTATCATTTATCCCAGAGAACAGTGCAAAAATGGCAAAATATATTCAGTACCAAAGATCCGTGCTTGCAATTAAGCAGCCTGGTCTGGGGTTTGATCTTATTTCAGCTTGCTGACACGACTGCAGTGATTGTTCGGCAGACATAAACATTTCAAAAATGAAAATGACACTCATCCGTGAGAAGACTATCAAGCTCGTCCCTTGGTTGCACAAAGGGTAAATATCATTATCGAGAACAAAGATCTTTCCTGGCGTATTGTGGTCGACAGCCTGTCCTTCAAAGTGATCTGATAACTGTTCAGATCCCCAATCCTTTGCCTCTTGGCTGCTCTGAAGGAGCCTTGGCTATTCTTCAGTCTTGAATTCTTCACAGCCTGACACTGAGCAAAGCAGAAAAGCGTTTATTAACCTCGTGGTTTCTGAGACCTTCCTCTACCTCGATCTTCTGGAATCCCTTACCTATTAGTTTACCAAAACCAACAACCACACAACTACTCACAAATCTGGAACTTCAGAATGAGCCTAGTGCAAACAAGATGATGGAAATTTGAAGAGTGCAATCTGTCTCATTCTTCGGGGAGATCAGGGAAGGCTCCCCGGCAGAGGCGGAGTTCTGTGGGCTGCACTTTGCGCATGACTGAGAAAGTACAGGAAGTAGGAGGTCATAGAGACCAGGGCTGGATCTAAAGGGCCTTTGAACTTACACATCTGCTTCTCTGGTGCACGGTCTTTTTAAGTACAGAAGAGAAAGAGGGAGGGAGGGACCTGGAAAACCAGTGCTCCTGGACCTCTAGAATCGCTACCCAGGGCTAGAAAGCCGACTTCTTGTGGATGTGTATTAAAATTTCAGGGAACAAATAAAATATTACTAAGAACTGCCTTAGACTGTAATGTTCTGGTGCGATTCACAGATGGCTGAAAGGAACCCGAGGCCTCACATTCCGCTTTCGGAGGCGCTTGGAAGCCTTCACAGGGACGAACTAGAAGCCCCACCTTTAACTTCCTCTCATAGCCATTTCTGTTCGCTGCAGTATTGTGTTGAGGTTTCCTGGCCGAAGACTTTATGCACTCGGAGAGTAAACTATCTTAGCATCCTCGCGAGGCCTTCGCGTGTGGTTTCTAGGGATTTTTTTTTTTGAGGCTATATTACAGTCACGTGAAAACCTTTGGGTTGGAGTGACCCCTATGTCCCTCTAGAGCTGTGTCTCTCTTCAGAACTTCCAGAGACACGGGGATCCTCTACGGCAGCGCTCTGCACAGTTGAAAGCTGGGTAGGTCTAGAGGGCGCTAGGCCGCAGGCTACCAAACCTTTCCCACTCTGCCAGAAAGTTTCCGAGCCCTTCTGGAGTCCCTGGGTACGGGCTGCGGTCGGCCGAGAAGGGGACACAGACGATCGCTTTAGAGAACAGCCTTCCGGGGAAGCGCCGAGGCTCTGACCCACTGCGGAAGAGGAAGGAGAGCTGGGTCCCGGCGCCGGAGGGCGGTGACAGTGTGGTCGCCCCCCGGAGCGCGCGGGTCAGGGTGGAGCCTGCAGCCCCGAGCCGCCTCAGCGTTTAGCATGCAAATCCATTCCCCGCTCCTCCTCTCCCCCCACCCCCAGCCCTCCCCGCCCCGGGAGCGAGCTCCGCCGCTCCGCAGCCGCCCACGCCTCCTGCGCGCCGCGGCGCCCGAGCGGGCGGCTCTACTTAAGCGGCGCGCGGGCCGCGACCCGCCACTCGCCTGGAGCGCGCGGGCGAGGCGGGCGCAGCGCACCGGGGCTCTCGTGGGCTCACAGCTGCGCGCTCGCACCGCGCGGCTCTCGGTGTTGGCGGCGGCGGCGGCGGCGGCGGCCGCCTGAGCGCAGAGCTCCCGGGATAAAAGCCGCTGCAGCTCCCGATCGCGACCCCGCTCCCTGTCGCAACCCGGCCACCTCTTTGGCCATGGCTCTGGCGGACAGCACCCGAGGATTACCCAACGGGGGTGGAGGCGGGGGTGGCAGCGGCTCGTCGTCGTCCTCGGCGGAGCCGCCGCTCTTCCCGGACATCGTGGAGCTGAACGTGGGGGGGCAGGTGTATGTGACCCGGCGCTGCACGGTGGTGTCCGTGCCCGACTCGCTGCTCTGGCGTATGTTCACGCAGCAGCAGCCGCAGGAGCTGGCCCGGGACAGCAAGGGCCGCTTCTTTCTGGATCGGGACGGCTTCCTCTTCCGCTACATCCTGGATTACCTGCGGGACTTGCAGCTCGTCCTGCCGGACTACTTCCCCGAGCGCAGCCGGCTGCAGCGCGAGGCCGAGTACTTCGAGCTGCCGGAGCTCGTGCGTCGCCTCGGGGCGCCCCAGCAGCCGGGTCCCGGGCCACCGCCGCCGCACTCGCGCCGCGGGGTTCCCAAGGAGGGCTCGGTGGGCGACGAGCTGCAGCCGCTGGGCTACTCGGAGACCGAGCCGCAGGAGGGCGCCTCGGCCGGGGCTCCGTCGCCCACGCTGGAGCTGGCTAGCCGCAGCCCGTCCGGGGGCGCGGCGGGGCCCCTGCTCACACCGTCCCAGTCTTTGGACGGCAGCCGGCGCTCCGGCTACATCACCATCGGCTACCGAGGCTCCTACACCATCGGGCGCGACGCCCAGGCGGACGCCAAGTTCCGGCGGGTGGCGCGCATCACGGTGTGCGGCAAGACGTCGCTGGCCAAGGAGGTGTTTGGGGACACCCTGAACGAGAGCCGGGATCCCGACCGGCCCCCGGAGCGCTACACCTCGCGCTATTACCTCAAGTTCAACTTCCTAGAGCAGGCCTTCGATAAGCTGTCCGAGTCGGGCTTCCACATGGTGGCGTGCAGCTCCACGGGCACCTGCGCCTTTGCTAGCAGCACCGACCAGAGCGAGGACAAGATCTGGACCAGCTACACCGAGTACGTCTTCTGCAGGGAGTGAGCTCCCCAGACCCCCTGGCCACTCCCGCGCCCACTTCCTTTCCTCCACTCGGGGGCACAGGATTATAGCTGCCCTAGACCCCTTCCCCTCGTGCCCTGGTTCCTTCTGCCCTTCCCGTCTCTCCCCCAGTAGCTCACCCAGACCCTTCAGCTCCCCACTTGAGAATCTGCAGCCACAAATCCTCTGGGCTTCTTCGTCTTCTTTGGACCCCGCTAACCGCGAGTGCTCAGATGTAGCTCTTCTTCACCTCTGCTTCCTCCACTCCTGGCCTCCAACCACCCTTCCCCCCAGATTGTACTTGAGTTCCAGAGCTGGTGGGGCAGTGCGGGCGCAAAGTCACCAAGTACCTGGGAGTGACTGAATTGTCCTGACCCGACTGGACGGTGTCCAGCGTGCAGTGTGGGAGTCTTGGAAACCTTAAGTCCCTTGACTCCCTAGTGGTTTCAGAGATCAGAACTGAGAGCGCTGTGTGGAGATAGTGTTTTAAAAGACTTGTTTCCCACTATAAAGATCAAGTTTTAGACGACAGAATGGAAGACTGTAATGCTGGAATTAAGACCCCATGGAGGCAGTTCAGAGACTGTAAATAAAGTGATTAGAAGAAAAAAAAAAGTTACAGGTAGAAGTAAATCCTAGTACTGGTAACGGGGAGGATCCTATTTTCCCTACACAATAGATCTCCTGTGGCTTAAAATTGTAGAAAGCCATGATCCTCCTGCCTGCGGAGGCGCCCTTTCTCGTCAGCTGTTTGCCTGAGCTTTAGGTTGTATTGGTTAAGGCAGCCCTTGTAGGCAAGGAGCAGGCAGCCCAGGGAGGCGAGGCTGCCCAGGCCCCCAGCGCTGCAGAAAGTCACTGGCAGAGACTGAGTAATGCAGGAGTGTTAGGAGGATCATACAGCCCTTAGGTCTAGGACTAGTGGGAGGGTTGGGGAGGGAGGAAGGGCGGGGAGGAAGGGTGGAGAGGGAGGAGAGGACATACTCATTTATTATTTGGAAGCTGGAAGTCTGTACCATCCATTTGAGTACATGCACATTTAAAAATATCAAACAGTACGTGTAAACTTAGATTTTTTTTTTTTAAATCAAGGTTAGAAAAAGTCCCACTTTCAGCTGGAAGTTTATCGAGCTATTTTGAGTCCTAAACTGTTAAGTTGCTAATACTTGTAATAACCTAACCAAAGAGTTTCCTAGTAGTTTTAGTGGTTTGAACGTTTATTTTCTTGTTGATTATATTTCCTCATTTTTTAAATCCTATTTACTTAAGCAAAGTAAGTTTGCTTTTAGCTTAGACTTAAGATCGCTTATTATCATTATTTTTAAATTACTGTTTTTCTCTAAGCCCAGCAAATATGGACTGCTGGGCAGTTCTGAAAACCCGAACAACGCCATTTCTTTCGTGCGTTCATTTGACGTTTCAGTGGACTCTTTTTTCAAATGACAGAGCTGAAGATAAACGTAAGCACCGGGAGCCGCCCATCTGTAGATAGCTGTGAAGTGAAATGTTTTTAAATGAAGGCAAATACTTCAGTGTGAGCTGAGCAATAACAGGGCGTTTCAGGTAAACGCAGCAGCAACAGGAGCCCTGGTTGCCTTTTGCCTTTACTCTCACGTGGAATGAGTTCCTAGCGTGTATCCTGTGTACACCACAGCCGAAGGGAGGTGAATCCGTCTGCTCTCCGCTGAGAGGCACCCTTTGAATTATCTGTGATGATGGAGGAGCCTTTCTGTGTGTGTGTTTGTTTTATCATCTTTCTCCGAAATATGTTTTAAGAGATTTTGTAAGAGTTGTTTTAAGTGTTTAAATTAGTACTATTTTTCCTTCTTTTTAAAAACGAACCTTGTACTGTACTTCACTGTGTCCACGGCAGATGTTATGAATTGGGACAGTTTTATTCTCAGACTCATGTGATCCAATCTGTATATACCATATATAAACATTTTACACGAATCATTTAGTTTTTTAATTCATCTACTAACGCTATAAAACTTACTGTATTTACCCCTGGTAACTTGCATTTGATGGTGTATATACAAAAGCAACACATTTTGGTGAGTTTCTTATATCCTTGCCTGTGAACTTGGGTCAGGAAAACATTCATAACTAGGAGGCTGGGTTTGCTCCATACATTTTTGCTGAGATGTTAGTTGTATACTGATCATATGTCACTTAACTGTTTACCTGTATTCAAGCTATCCGTATTTTTAATCCAATAATGTTTTTATTTTAATTGGGAGAGGTTTAAGTATTTTTTGTTAGTTACCTTTTTTTTTTTTTTTAAAAAAAAATAAAAGTTAGCTTTATGTACAGAGTCTGCAGTTTTAAAGAAAGGGAAGCAGGGATCCAGGAAGTTGTGTTAACTTTAGTTTTGAGCTTGTTTTTAGACAGTGGATCAGGAAATGGACCAGAACCTTTGTTTCAAGCCTGAAATGATTTAGGACTGTCACTCAAACGTGAGTGTCGTAGATTTCTCCATGTTATGGTACTCTGTTAGATTGCTTAACAAAGAAATGGATGATTAAGAGCATCTTTAGAACAGATCAAAATATGCTGACAGATGGCAAGATGGAAGTTCTGATCCCCCCTTGTCAAATCTGCACAACTTTAGGAGCCATGAGAAACTGCTCAAGTTTTATCTGCACTCAAGTCTTATGAATGGTGTCTTCGAAAACGATTCAATTGTCTCGTGAACACGTAGGCATCTTTTTATGTCCCACCACACCTGGCTGGCCTGTAATTTTGAAGCCTGGGGATTTAGTGTTAGGAATAGTACATGAGTCTCTCTCCCTGGAAGTGACTGTCCCCTCTGATGTTGAAGCCAATGCATGGAAACTTTACTTTTTAGCCCAAAGTGAAGTCTGAGTAGTCACCTTATTCTATGAAAGGAACATAGTGTGACCGAATCAGGATCATTCGGAATGGGCACTTTTCTCCCCTTGGCTTTGGGCTTTAGAAGAAAACGTTGAGGCTTATAAAATGTTCTAAAGTATTGATTAACACCTGTGAATTTGGTTAGTGTACCAAATAGAGTAAGGCTCTCAAAAATATCTTTGAAATGACCTGGGAGAATGTTGTAAACTATTCAAATAATTGTGGCTGCATTAATCCATCTCAGAGGGGCAAGCGTTTGCATATGTTGATCAAATTACCATTTGATGCTGATCAATAATGGAATGACATTAGATTTAATAACTAATTTTTATAAAGAAGTGTTGACAGTCATTGTGGTTGGAAAAAATAGGTACATGTTCCATGCTTGCATATCAGATGTTTGTTTTTTTTAATACATGTGGATTATGAACCACATTCATTCTAAATTTTCAAACATGTAGAAGAAAATATTCTTTGAAGATGTGAGAAAATTTCCCCCTTTTAATACTGTTTTTATTCTAGTGTTTCTTATTTAGGTTTTTCAATTGATAGCAAAGTGATAATACTAGCCCAAATTGTCTTCTTTTTAAAAGCAGAATCATATATATATATATCTATTTTCAATGTGTGTGCTGCTTATCTGAGGAAATATATAATGTGTGAATACTCAGAGAAAACTGGCAGTGATTACAACGTATTCTGATTTTTATTGTAGTTTCCATAGAATGGTGTTATCACATCAAAGCCATGTATGATGAAGCTTTGACAATTTTTTAACTCTTCAAATTATGGTGAACTCCAATCTAGTATTCAAATCATTTTTTGTACTCCTACATGTAAAATAAATTATAATGCAGATAGTTAAAAAAATAGTGAAGGAAGTGAATTTCTTAAGAATTTCTTTTACAGTACTTAATTACAAGTACTGTAAAACTGACATATTTTAAAAATAGTAAACTTGGTATTTTTATTGTTAAACTCTTAGTCAAGACTTTGCTTGCAATTTTTATTATGTTTTTCATCACTACAAATCATTTAAAATCTGAATATTTGAGATAATCTGTCT